CAAGTCCATATTATGGCAAGAACAGCTCAAATAAGCAAAGAGAAACGAGAGGCCATCATTACTTTATGACATGAAGATCAGTCAATCCGGGACATTTCAAGAACTTTGAACGTTTCTTCAAGTGCAGTCGCAAAAACCATCAAGCGCTATGATGAAACTGTTTCTCATGAGGACCAGCACAGGAAAGGAAGACCCAGAGTTATCTCTGCTGCAGAGGATAAGTTCATTAGAGTTACCAGCCTCAGAAATTGCAGCCTAAATAAATGCTTCACAGAGTTCAAGTAACAGACACATCTCAACATCAACTGTTCAGAGGAGACTGCGTGAATCAGGCCTTCATGGTGGAATTGCTGTAAAGAAACCACTACTAAAGGACACCAATAAGAAGAAGAGACTTGCTTGGGCCAAGAAACACAAGCAATGGATATTAGACCGGTGGAAATCTGTCCTTTGGTCTGGAGTCCAAATGGGAGATTTTTGGTTCCAACCGCCATTTCCTTGTGAGACGCAGTGTAGGTGAATGGATGATCTCCGCATGTGCAGTTCCCACTGTGAAGCAAGGCGGAGGAGGTGTGATGGGTTGAGTGTGCTTTGCTGGTGACACGGTCTGTGATTTATTTAGAATTCAAGGCACACCTAACCAGCATGGCTACCACAGCATTCTGCAGCGATACGCCATCCCATCTGGTTTGGGCTTAGTGGGACTATCATTTGTTTTTCAACAGGACAATGACCCAACACACCTCCAGGCTTTGTAAGGGCTATTTTACCAAGAAAGAGAGTGATGGAGTGCTGCATCAGATCACCCAACCTCTAACCAATTGAGATGGTTTGGGATGAGTTGGACCTCAGAGTGAAGGAAAAGAAGCCAACAAGTGCTCAGCATATGTGGGAACTCCTTCAAGACTGTTGGAAAAGCATTCCAGGTGAAGCTGGTTGAGAGAATGCCAAGAGTGTGCAAAGCTGTCATCAAGGCAAAGGGTGGCTACTTTGAAGAATCTCATATAAAATATATTTAGAGTTTTTAAACACTTTTTTGGTTACTACATGATTCCATATGTGTTATTTCAAAGTTTAGATGTCTTCACTATTATTCTACAAGGTAGAAAATAGTAAACAATAAAGAAAAGCCCTTGATTGAGTAAGTGGGTCCAAACTTTTGACTGGTACTGTATTTTACATCTTCAAGAAAACAGTGCTCGGAAAACGTTTTGAATGATCTCATATAATTACTTTAGGCCCAACCTTTGGCACTTTGGCTTTCCTTGTTATTGCCACAGTGACTACATTTACTTGCACACCAATATCCCGTTATTATTCGGGATACTCAAGTATTCTGTTTTTGAGTTGACGCATATAAAACATCATATCCCGTTAACAATAATCTGAAAAATCGTATATCCCGGTTATAAGGATCCCAGTCTGGGATATACTGATCTAAAACGGGATTCTGTGGCATGTAAACATCTCATCCCGTTTACTGTTGTTTTTATGGTCTGCCTAGGCTCAGTTTCGCATATCATGGGTGTTGTGTGATTGATTATGTTTTCATCTGATTGTCAAACAAATCACTTCAAAAAGTAGGCTACCTGTGCAATTCGATCCACCATAATAATTTAGCCTACTATAATTCATTTACTATAGGTTTCTGCTTATAATTTCCGACATTTGGTAAGCCATTTGTTTGTCAACTATAGTTTAATACATGCAGCTTCTCTTCTGTCATAACTTGTTGCCCCAGAGGGTTAAATAAAGTAGTGCTCACCAGAATAATGTCTTACATCGATAGAATGAATGCATTAGTAATGAAGTTAACACCAGTAAAGTTGTCGGTTTCCTTTAGGGACTGGGGACAAAACGGAATAACTCCAAAACAGTGGAATGATTGGTCCTGTGCAGTGCAAAATGTCCAAATGTCATCAGTTTGACCGGTTATAAGGAATTGAAAGGCTGAGAAAACGACGGAACACGTTTCTGATTGTCAGAATGCTGAATGTGGATGTGGTGCAGGAATCAGGCGCAGGACACAGAAGCTTCGTCCAACAGACTTTAGTAGACGACAACGAAATACAAACGGGCCTCAAAAGAGCCCGGAAGCGAGCGATTACGCACATCGTGCGTAAACAACAAAATACAATAAGCGCGCGCACACAAGTGCGAAAACTCTCCAAACAATGGCGCAAAACAATCACAGCACCTGCTGACAAGCGGAACAATTACACACGACTAACAAAACGAGAACTTATAGGACACATAATTAACACTAAACGGAAACAGGTGTACAAATAAGACAAAACCAAACAAACATCGAAAACATACAACGGTGGCAGCTAGTACTCCGGGGACGACGACCGCCGAAGCCTGCCCGAGCAAGGAGGAGGAGCAGCCTCGGCCGAAACCGTGACACTGATAAGACTTCAGTTAATCTTGGGTGCATATTTTATGTGGTTGAAATACTGTCTGCTTGCATAACAATGTGAAAGATAACACATTACACATGCATTTTCTCAAGAGATGCTGAAAGAAATAAATGATATTTGTCCACTCCTGTTCCCAAGACAAAATGAGCATTTGTTGTATAATTTCACTGCAAGAAATGCATAATTCTGCAGGAGTTCATATTATATTACGCTACATATGAGAGGTTATAGGCCTACAGTCAGTGTCCATATTTCAGTTACTATTCCATTTTAACCCATATGAACTTAAATTAAGAATTTCATTTTATTCATAGAAACAGGGATACTCATGAGCGGGATTTCAAAGGTGCATGTAAACGGCTTATCCCAAATAAAACCTTAAGCGGGATATGAGCTACTATCCAGAATACTGTGTGCATGTAAATGTGATCAATGTTATGGTCACTACAGCCAATGGGAACTGATATTGCTCTGGAGCAAAGCTCTGCAGCATTAGTGAAGAGATGATCAATACAAGTGGATGTAACAGATCCAACACTGTTGGTATGCACTGTAGTTGGTTAAGTGATAACCTGGGTCATATTACAGGCATTAGTCACAGTTAGAAGCTTCCTTTTGAGAGAAAATAGATCTCTCTGTTAACATCACACACATTATCGAGCATTGCACACATATGATCCAAATACTGACTGTTAGCACTTGGTGGCCTAAAGTAGCACCCAACAAGAAGAGGGTTTAGATGAGGTAGGTGAACTTGCAACCACAACACTTCAACAACACTTGACATGAGATCCTCTCTAAGTTTGACAGGAATATGGCTCTGAACATATACAGCAACACCTCCCCCTTAGGCATTCCTGTATTTTCTGTAGATGTTATATCCTTGTATTGCTACTACTGTTTCATCAAATAAATAATCTAAGTGAGTTTCAGAGATGGCCAGTATATGAATGTTATCGGATGTTAGCAAGTTATTGATTTCATGAACCTTATTTCTAAGGCTACATACAGTGCCTTCAGAAAGTATTCATACCCCTTGACTTATTCCACATTTGGCTGTGTTAGAGCCTAAATTCAAAATGGATTAAACATATTTTTAGAAAATGTTGCTAATTTATTGAAAATGAAATACAGAAATATGTGGTACTCAGTAATGTGTTGTATTTGCTCCAAACATGTTTGTATTCAAGACAAAAAGTGAATTGCTTTGGCAATTTTTTTGCAGTATTACTTTAGTGCCGTGTTGCAAACAGGATGCATGTTTTGGAATTTGGTACAGGCTTCCTTCTTTTCACTCTGTTAATTAGGTTAGTATTTTGGAGTAACTACAATTTGGTTGATCCATCCTCAATGTTCTCTTATCACGGCCATTAAACTCTGTAACTGTTTTAAAGTCACCATTGGCCTCATGGTGAAATCCCTGAGTGGTTTCCTTCCTCTCCGGCTACTGAGTGAGGTAGGACGCCTGTATCTTTGTAGTGACTGGGTGTATTGATAAACCATCCAAAGTCTAATTAATAAAGTCTGTTTATTTTAATTTAATTTTTTACCAATATACCAATAGGTGCCCTTCTTTGCAAAGCATTGGAAAACATCCCTGGTCTTTGTGGTTGAATCTGTGTTTGAAATTCACTGCTCGACCCGAGGGACGTTACAGATAATTGTATGTGTGGGGTACAGAGATGAGGCAGTCATCCAAAAATCATGTTAAACACTATTATTGCACACAGAGTGAGTCCATGCAACTTATTACGTGACTTGTTAAGCACATCACTTTCTCCTCAGACTCTATCCAGGTCTCATGTGGAGACTCTGGTATGCCATCTACAACTATGTAATTCCTCCTGGATTATCGTTGTAGATAATCTGTTTTCCCAGTCATTTGTAATAATGATTCATAGACAGTGCTGATGTCATTTCGCGTAGACTTAGAGTTGTTGTCATCTTGCTGGAAGTCTCTTTCAGGACATCCACCTCTCCCTTGGGGAACTGCAAACTGTTCTTAAGGTCTTGGACCTCTCTGGTCAGATCGTCCATTATTTTGTTAGTTGAGTCTACAATTGCTTGTAGACATATTTTTGTTGATTTAAAAGATCAAGCACCTGTGATAGCGAAACACTGTCCTCTCCATTACTCCCACCTTCTTTAGCTTTTGGCGGCATGATGTTAGCATGATATATTCTGTTGACAGAAAGTGATCTGTTCTTGCAATTTGTAGTCTATGACATTTCATATTTACATATGATAATTTTTCACAAAGTAGTTTGGACATAGTGAACTAGTTTTTCAAAGTAACTTTAGTTAAGTAAAATATATTTTTCTTAAGGGTAGCTTTAGTATAGCTTAACTTCTTCCACTGTGAAGTAATTGGTAGGTTGGTAAACTATTTTCAGAGTAGCTTCCCCAACACTGCTAAAAAGTTGTGACTAAACCTGGAATATCAATACTGGAAACATAAATGGAAAAAGAGAGGGAAAGAGAGGCATGAGACAAGTCCAGTCTGGCTGTGAGGTACATCCCGCCTCCCCCTCTCTCCTGTTCTTCCCGGCCCCACCCTACACCTCACATTCCACTACAAAACCCCTTCACATCACACACCAGCTACATAACAGACCACTGCTTTACACAGATCAACTACCAACACCTGAATTAAGAGAGTAGAATTTACTTTTTAAAGAGAAGGAAAACCCTTGACACAGAACTTTACTCTTCAAATTTCCAATCAAGACAAGAGGACACATCATAAGGTATTTGTTAAACTTTTCTACTTGTATGTCTGATTTTGTGCTATTTCAAATATGAAACATACCAGCTCCATACTGCATTATAATTTGTTACAACTCTTAGCGGAGTAACCTATCCAATCAAGTTTAAAATAAATTCATATTGATGGTATGTTTAGGGGGCAGACACATGCATGGAACATCCTTCTACTTTTATGAGTGTCTAAACCTCCACTTAATTCAAACAGATGAAGGTATGTATGATTCAGGCCATAAGTACAAACAAATCAACTTCTGAGGCACATTTCCACCCAAACTTTTAATTTTGACATTAATCTATTATGAAACACTGTGGTTCATCCACAATACGCTACTTTTTTCAATATGGCATAAGAAATGTTTTCATACTCTATTCCATTGACGACCAAACATAATGCCTTCATGTTATGCTCAGGATTCAGTGATTCACCAGGATCTATAAGCAGCAACAATCACTATTAGTAATTTTGTTCTTACCAACTCACCCCTATCTTCTCGACCTCCTCCTCTCCCTCTTATCCTCACCTCTATGGGTCCCTGTTAGAAGAAAATACACATTTATGTCTTGGTTTTACTAGTCTGCCTGTTCTTGTCCAGTTCAATATAAGGAGTGGGTCCAAGTAAGCACTATTGCATGTTTTCTTAATTCAATGAGAGTAGCTTAGATGGAATATATAACATGATCCAGTGGAGAAAATAAAGATAAATGTGTGACGTTTTGCGAGGCTACTTAGTGTTGGGGTAGAAGAAAAGCTCTTTGGGCTTGATTTAGTGAAGTTGTACTCAGCTAAAGGGATGACAACATTAAGGAGCAGATGACATTTGCTGGACTTTTTCGCATGGCTAGGTGAGATTGAGTGGATCCAGGTGAGGAGATGTTGAAGTCTCAGTGAGACTAGGAGTGGCAGCATGCTGAGATAGACCGGGCCTGTCACAACACGACTCTGTCCCAGGGCTGTGCTTTCTGAGACTTTGTTTTTAAATGCAGTTCTGAGCTACACGATCCTGACCTGTACAGGCCTGTCATAGGGAATGAGTCAGTGTGTGTAGGTGTTTGTGGGGTACTCTGCTGGTGATGATAACAGAAATGACCATGTAATTCCATCTCTACATTTAAAGCAACCACACTTCCTTTTTATACCAGAATGTGAACTGTTTTGTATCCCCCCCCTCTCTCTCTCTCTCTATCTCTTCCAGGATGGGATCTGCTGGGGTACAGATTGTATGTGTGGCCCTTGGGGTCTTGGGCCTGATCGGGGGCATTGTGTGCTGTGCCATCCCTAGGTGGAGAGTGTCATCATTTACAGGACAGAACATCGTAACGGCACAGGTACTGAGCAGATCAACTGTTTTATTAGACCTATGTGGTTTACATTTTAAACCGCAAAATACTTTCTAACATTATATTGACTCAAATGACTCTAAAAACTCGAAAAATGTAGAATGGATGCAATATGCTGAAGTAAAATAAACTGTAATGAATGAATGGCGTGTGTATTACTGTAACTATTTGTCTCTGTGTGTAGGAAACTGAAGAGGGCCTGTGGATGAACTGTGTGGTGCAGAGTACGGGCCAGCAGCAGTGTAAGAGCTATGAGTCCTTGCTGGTCCTGCCATCTGACCTGCAGGCGGCCCGCGCCATGACCATCATCAGCTGCATGGTCACCTCCCTGGCCATCCTCATCCTGTTCGCCGGCGCCGACTTCACCACCTGCGTGGAGAACGAGGACATCAAGCCCAAGATCAGCCTTGTGGCCGGGATCGCCCTGATGGTGTCTGGCCTCCTCCTCATCATCCCCGTCAGCTGGTCGGCCCACAAAGTCATCAGCAACTTCTACAACCCCCTTGTGGCCCAGAAGATGGAGCTGGGAACCTGTATCTTTATTGGCTGGGCTGCTGGGGTGCTGCTGATTCTGGCTGGAGGCCTGCTCATGTGCTTCAGCAGAGCCAAATCTGGCAGCTCGGGAGGAACCGCTAAGTACTACAGCAACAGCGCCTCAGCCCCCGCCACCAACAAGAACTACGTGTAGAGCATGTAGTACACCTCTGTATGTTTGTATGTGAGTATAGAGATAGTTTGATGGAAAGGAAATGGGTCAGACAGAATGGAAACAAGAAAAGGGAGGGTGGTCCTATGTTTCTTTTAACTCAATATACTATAAAATTACTAAAACCAAATAGAAATTGTAGAAATGATCATGTACATGTACCTACATTCATACAGTTTCTTAACTGTGTCCAGCTCGCTAATAATCACCGAAATGAAAGTGAGACAGTCAGGGAGCACCGGAAATTCCAAAAACGATGGACCAATTTTCAATGTGGCCCTCCGTACCTCGTTGAAGACCAAATGCGGCCCCCAGGGCAAAATGAGTTTGACACCCCTGTTGTAATGTGTTATCTCGTTTAGTTTTTTTATGCTGGGTGACGGGTTTCTATAATGCCATGAATGAACAACAGAGAGCAAGATTAGGGACTCAAGTGTTCATGCATTTCAAAATAGAGGTATAGTCAAATGACTGTATATATAATTTACGTCCATGAGATCACAATTTTTTTACTTATGTAAATCAGCTTGTCTTTTTACTTTTGTGTATCAAATAATAAATACATGTTTTTATTTTATTCTGTTGCAATACAAATGATTGGGCGGCAGGGCGGCAGGTAGCTTAGTGGGTAAGAGCGTTGTGCCAGTAACCGAAAGGTCGCTGGTTCTAATCCCCGAGCCGACTAGGTGAAAAATCTGTCGATGTGCCCTTGAGCAAGGCACTTAACCCTAATTGCTCCTGTAAGTCGCTCTGGATAAGAGCGTCTGCTAAATGACAAAAAATAAATAAAAAATAAATAAAATAAAATTGTCATCTCCTTCAGGTGTGCCATCGTTTAGATGGCATTTGGAAATGTTAACAAAAGCAAAACAAGTTTAAATATTTTGAAAATATTGAGGACTTTTATTTCCAACTATGTAAGAGCATATATTAAAAACAAGTCTCTATAAATGTGATAATTCACACAAATTCAAATTCACACAAAAAACAAATTCAAGCTTCCAGCCCAAAAGATATTGGGCTCCTGATATTGATGGATCCTGTCTCCAACTCTCCCTTTAACCATCTTTCCTTCAAACATCCCCAACTATTTCAAACTATTTCACTTTCCTCTCCTCTTTATCTTCTCCTCCTCTTTACACCTCCTGCTCATTTCTCTCTCTCCATCAGCTCCCTCTCAAACCCAACCGCTCTATTTCAATTCTTGCTCTCTAGTTCGCTCACACGCTTGGTCAGCTCCTCTACTCTTTCCTTCAGAGTCTTCACCTCCTTCTGCAAGGCATGTACCTCCTGAGAGAGAGAAAAAGAGAGAGAGAAAAAGAGAGAGAGAAAGAGAAAGAGAGGGAGAAGGGGAGGGGGGATTCTTGGTCAACTGTGCAAAAGAGGAAGCCATATCTAAAATACAGTATCTATTCACAGATATATCAAAGCATGTAGGTAGATGCAGCCATGTCCTTACCCCACTGATATCGTGCTGATGCCCCACGGTAGCTGATGTGGTCTTCAGAAGACTTTTGTGAACTTTGAACTCTTTGTTTTTGGTGGTTGTCGCAAAACCTTCCTTCAAGGAGATCAGGATAGGTTGGCCCTCTTTGCCTTCAAACCACTCAGTGGCCTCCACAGACGGCTCTGGACCCATGGTGTCTGGGTACAAATCCTCCTGAAACAGGTCAGACTGAAGAGAGAGAGATAGAGACAGAGAGAAAGGGAAAGTGAGATATTGAAGAATCACACATGCTTTGAGTTATAGTAATTTTTTAAAATGTATTTACCTTGCGGGGCACCGTCATGACAACGGGCTCGCACTTCCTCTCATGGAGCTTGTAAAACCTGGTGGAGGGCGAATAAAACAACATACGTTCCCATTTTACAAGCAGCGCTTGTGTGTATGTGTGTGTATATTGGCGAGTGAAAATGTCCATGACTCTGTGTGGTTACCTGGCGATTTCACACTTGTTGACCTCCAGGCCCCTCTTGGGCATGTAGCCCATGCCCTTCTGACTCTCCTTACTGCTATACATGGACAGGTAGTGAACATAAGGAGCCTCATCCGTCACCTCAAAGTACCGGATACTGCTGTCACCCTGAGACAGGGAAATGAATGGTTAGTAAACCATAGTGTGTGTGTCACAGGAGGTTGGAGGGCTCGTGGTAATGGCTGGAGCGGAATTAGTGGAACGTTATCAAACACATCAAACACATGGTTTCCATGTGTTTGATGCCATTCCATTAGCTCCGTTCCGGCCATTATTTTGAGCCGTTCTCCCCTCAGCAGCCTCCTGTGATGTGTGTGTGTGTTTGCGTGCGTGTGTGTGCGTGTGATCAACTCTAACCTTGCCACAGAGGTAGACGATGCCAGTGTCGGGGTCAAAGAAGGGCAAAAGGACGCCACTGCTGGTGTCCAACTCCTGCAGGGTGAGCGGCTCCCCAAAGCTATTCTGTCAAACACATACAGGTCATGTCGGTTCTTAAGACACCATTCATAAGCCTTTATAAGAAGTTCATAATTGTCTCATAATACTCACTGGGTCCCAAAGTGCCACCTGCCTCTCACTCATGCGACTGAAGCCTGTACTCAGGATCTTCCCATCGGACACAAACACAGCCTTGACAGGCCTGGAGCCTTCGTGGGTCTTCTCCTTCTCCTGAGAGAGACAGAGAGGCAGAGAGAGAGAGATACAGACTCAGGGAAAGAGAGACACTCAAGGAAGGAGGTTCATCTATCAAAGACACGTGAAGGGAACTATATGAACTAATCACTGACTGTGATTCTATTTATATCTATGACATTAAACCTAGTAGCTAGGTGCATCTGACTCTCCAGGGTGGTTGGTTCTCCTGTGGTATTGAGGGGGGCAGGGAGGGGGGCACTCACGGCAATGACAGTGCCCTTGCGGGGGTCCATCACACGTAGGGTCTTGTCCTTGCAGGAGGTGAGGATCTGGGAGCCGTCCCTGTTCCAGCAGGCACTGTAGATGAGGTCAGGGTGGACCGAGTCGATCCTCACCACGGCTTCGCCACACGCCACGTTCCACAGGATCACCACGTTGTCACAGCCTGGCAGCCAGGGGAGAGAGAGACGGAGGAACAGGCAGTTAGGCCATGCAGTGCTACTCCACTTATGTTTATAGCTAAAGAGGCACGTGTATTCTGAGGCGATGCATCAGAGCACTGCTATACCTGCGCTCATGAGCACGTTGTGGGCAGTGGGGTGCCAACTGAGGATGCCCACGCGTTTGGAGTGCCCCTCCAGCTTCACCACGGGGTCCTTCAGGGGCGTGACCAGGCCACCGTCCGGGATCTCCCAAATCTGAACGATGGTAGAGGAAGAGGAGGGTATATTATTACACTGAGTTAACACAGTACATAGATACAGAACACTGGTCAACTGGATAACACAAGGACATATTCAATCAACACATATGCCACAGTGTCCTTACAGTATGTGCGTCCATAATATGATTCTACTTAACAAGCTCAACATTATGGCCAGTGAAAGGTTGTGACCTCTACTTACCATGACACTGCAGTCCTCTGAGCCACTGGCAATGATGTTGTCGTTGTGGGGACAGAACTCAATATCCAGCACTGGGCCTGTGTGTCCACAGACTGTGGGCTGGGACATGTCAATACGACCCGTCTACAGGGAGACACAAAGGAAAAAGATGAGTTACTATGACACAAATAAACACACACACACACACACACACAAACACACACACACACACACACACACACACACACACACACACACACACACACACACACAAGCTGATGGCTCAACAGGAGATGGCTCAAGCTGATGGCTCAACAGGAGATGGCTCAAGCTGATGGCTCAAACAGGAGACAAATAATACAGTATGCAGTAAGAACACATGGAGATGTAGAGCGTTGCTACCACTGTGGTTTTGGCAAGAGAGAGACCTAGAGAGGGTTCAGACGAGAGGAACTCAGTCAGCTGATGCCAATTTTATAGCTATGCCTCAAATTAGCCTTAGAGAGCAGAGAACTCTGCTGGGAGAGCACTAGCAGGCTGCAGGGTTCCCATGGCCCTGGGGGAACACACGCATACACACACACAGGATCTGGATTGTTGGCTCACTCTGTCACGTTGGCCCTCGCCCACCATTCACGGTACCAAAACAAAACCATCTACATTCAATAATGTACTAAGGATGTACAATACATGCCTTAATTTGAAAAGTGGCATAATGTTTTATTTCAAACTTAATTCAAATCTTTCTCCTAATGTCCCTGCCTTCATTGTACATTAACAATCCGCTGCCGAAAACCTCTTAGTCACTCACTGTTTCAATAATACAGTTACCAAATACAGGTTATATTGCTGTAGTAATAACTATACAATAGGTTGCCAAAGTAGTTAAGTGACAGAAAAATAAACTTCTCCAACATATAAATCAAGATGCTGAAAGGTAGACTCAGCAATATGACGTAGATGCAGAAAGTAAACAGCATAGTGGGTCAATTTCCACAACAACTAAGAGCGTTGAAGCGCGAGGCTCAACTTCTCAGCTGTTTTGGTCCAGTGGCTCCCACGATTGAAGAGCGTGAAGCGAAACCGTGCGTATGCGCAGATACTTTGTGTGACTGTGTGAGAGCGAAGTCTTGCATCTCACTCATCTCAATATCATTTTGCTGTCTACCTTTAAATCAAATTATCGTTCATTGGAGAACAATGGCTTCCTTCATTAGGCCTTAAATGCACTGTGAATTTGGGTTGACAGGACTATTATTTGTCCCTGTTACAGGAAAGTCCAAGAGGTCTACCCATGAAGATGAGACAAAATTATGTTATATCTATCTGTTCTATATATGAATATGCATACACTTAATGTCAGTCTTTCAATTACACCTTTATGCTTCAATATCCCATAAAGTATTCAAAATCAATCTAGATAGTGACCACTATAAAATCATTATATTCACTATATATACAAAAGTATGTGGACACCCCTTCAAATTAGTGGATTCGGCTATTTAAGCCACACCCGTTGCTGACAGGTGTATAAAATCGAGCACACAGCCATGCAATCTCCATAAACAAACATTGGCAATAGAATGGCCTTACTGAAGAGCTCAGTGACTTTCAACGTGGCACTGTCATAGGATGCCACCTTTCCAACAAGTCAGTTCGCCAAATTTCTGCCCTGCTAGAGCTGCCCCGGTCAACTGTATGTGCTATTATTGTGAAGTGGAAACGTCTAGGAGCAACAATGGCTCAGCCGCGAAGTGGTAGGCCACACAAGCTCACAGAACGGGACCGCCGAGTGCTGAAGCACGTAGCGTGTAAAAATCGTTTTTCCTCGGTTGCAACACTCACTACTGAGTTCCAAACTGCCTCTGGAAGCAACATCAGCACAAGAACTCTTCGTCGGGAGTTTCATGAAATAGGTTTCCATGGCCGAGCAGCCGCACATCACCATGCGCAATGCCAAGCGTCGGCTGGAGTGGTGTAAAGCTCGCCGCCATTGGACTCTGGAGCAGTGAAAACGTGTTCTCTGGAGTGATGAATCACGCTTCACCATCTGGCAGTCCGATGGACGAATCTGGGTTTAGCGGCTGCCAGGAGAACGCTACCTGCCCCAATGCATAGTGTCAACTGTAAAGTTTGGTGGAGGAGGAATAATGGTCTGGGGCTGTTTTTCATGGTTCGGGCTAGGCCCATTAGTTCCAATGAAGGGAAATCTTAATGCTACAGCATACAATGACATTCTAGATGATTCTGTGCTTCCAACTTTGTGGCCCTTTCCTGTTTCAGCATGACAATGCCCCCGTGCACAAAGCGAGATCCACACAGAAAGGTTTGTCGAGATCTGTGTGGAAGAACTTAACTGGCCTGCACAGAGCCCTGACCTCAACCCCATCGAACTCCTTTGGGATGAAATGGAACGCCGACTGGGAGCCAGGCCTAATCGCCCAACATCAGTGCCCGACCTCACTAATGCTCTTGTGGCTGAATGGAAGCAAGTCCCCGCAGCAATGTTCCAACATCTAGTGGAAAGCCTTCCCAGAAGAGTGGAGGCTGTTATAGCAGCAAAGGGGGGACCAACTCCATATTAATGCCCATGATTTTGGAATGAAATGTTCGACAAGCAGGTGTCCACATACTTTTGGTAATGTAGTGTATGTGTTTGTTGTTGATATTGCAGCACATTCGTCCCATGCTGATACTGTACCTGCATCCCACATATGCTTCTGTTTTTCAATGTCAAACCCACCACTGGTGTGCATATTTTCATGTTATCTGACCATAGCACCGGTTCCAATCCAATGCCGTTGATCAAACTCCAGACAGTGCTATAGTCAGATGGCATGACAATATAACTCTAGCTCAGTAAATAGCTCAGTATGTGTATTATTTATTTTATACAGTCTTTTTTGCTCATCTTTATCAAGTGTGCTAATAACTTTGGACCTGACTGTATATGCAGCTGCACTATACTGCGCCCTAGCCACATCCTGTCAAGACTGTGTTTCACTGAAGCGCTCCAAATATGGTGAAAAACTAGCAACAGCACAGAGAGAGCGAGTAACGTGTAGAACCGAAACTCTGCCCCAAACTTCCTTATTCAGCACAATGTGTGATGACGCCTTGCAATATTCAAAATTCAAATGTTCAAAAAACATGGTTCTTAGAACACTGTACAAACGACACGCCAATTAAACATTTTCATCAAAATTATAGCGTAGTTGGGCAAACCTAGGCATGAATGAAGGTGACATTTTCAAAGATTTGAAAGTGAGGCATATGGATAGATCTACACAACAGACGGAGAGGGAAATGGACGTTAGACCACTTTTGAGGCCTGAAAACGTCTAACTTCACTTAAGGCATTCACTTTGACCTCTGTATCTCTGCTCATGCCCACCTTGTTCAGAGGCAGCACTAGGAAGGCCCCTCCTCCGCTGGCATCCACAATCATGGCCACAAACTTGGGGTTAACGGAGCAGAAGTTGCTGTCCCAGGTCATCTGGGAGATGCGGATGTCATCGTAGCACTGGTCAGCCTTCACCCCCTGGCCGAAGACGTGACGGAACTTACTGGCCCTGACTACCTTCCTGGACATGGTGGCCTGAGAGGGGAGAGATGAGGACAGGGATAGAGTGGGGGGGGGGGGTAGTGTCAGAGAATTAAGGGGAGAGATAAGAAAAAAAAAAGGAAGAGGGACAGAGTTTTTAATGCACTGTGGTAGAGTAATCAGGTGGGTATTATATTTAAGAATATGCAGACTGCTACTGTAGCCAGTGAGCTCTAACCCGGCACCCCTATAAAAGGAGGTGTCGCGTATGATGCCATACAACATTTACATGGACAGAGAGAGAGAGAGAGACGAGATGACCGGAGAGGAGGAGAGAGAGAGACAAGAGAGAGAGAGAGAGAAGAGAAAGGGAGGGAGAGTAGAGACAGAGAGAGAGAGAGAGAGAGGAGAGAGAGGAAATGAAAGAGAGTAAAGGGAGAGAAGATAGAGAGAGACAAGATGAAAGAAAGACTATCGATATACCCGAGCATCGATACTATATGCTAGATGGCAGAGACTATACGCTATCAATCATCACGACATAATAATACCCTCAAGCCCTTTTTGCTAAAAAGAAACAGAAATAGACAGAAAGGTTATGGATACCTATTATTGATCCCCTGCTTCATTTTGTACTTGCCACTACAAGAAATGATCAGTCTATAATTTTAATGGTAGGTTTATTTGAACTGTGAGAGACAGAATAACAACAACAAAATCCAGAAAAAACGCATGTCAAAAAATTTGATTTGCATTTTAATGAGGGAAATACGTTTTTGACCCCCTCTCAATCAGAAAGATTTCTGTCTCCCAGGTGTCTTTTATACTGGTAACGGGCTGAGATTAGGAGCACACTCTTAAAGGGAGTGCTCCTAATCTCAGCTTGTTACCTGTATAAAAGACACCTGTCCACAGAAGCAATCAATCAATCAGATTCCAAACTCTCCACCATGGCCAAGACCAAAGAACTCTCCAAGGATGTCAGGGACAGGATTGTAGACCTACACAAGGCTGGAATGGGCTACAAGACCATCGCCAAGCAGCTTGGTGAGAAGGTGACAACAGTTGGTGCGATTAGTCGCAAATGGAAGAAACACAAAAGACCTGTCAATCTCCCTCGGCCTGGGGCTCCATGCAAGATCTCACCTCGTAGAGTTGCAATGATCATGAGAACGGTGAGGAATCAGCCCAGAACTACACGGGAGGATCTTGTCAATGATCTCAAGGCAGCTGGGACCATAGTCACCAAGAAAACAATTGGTAACACACTACGCGTGAAGGACTGAAATCCTGCAGCGCCAGCAAGGTCCACCTGCTCAAGAAAGCACATATACAGGGCCGTCTGAAGTTTGCCAATGAACATCTGAATGATTCAGAGGAGAACTGGGTGAAAGTGTTGTGGTCAGATGAGACCAAAATGGAGCTCTTTGGCATCAACTCAAATCGCCGTGTTTGGAGGAGGAGGAATGCTGCCTATGACCCCAAGAACACCATCCCCACCGTCAAACATGGAGGTGGAAACATTATGCTTTGGGGGTGTTTTTCTGTTAAGGGGACAGGACAACTTCACCGCATCAAAGGGACGATGGACGGGGCCATATACCGTCAAATCTTGGGTGAGAACCTCCTTCCCTCAGCCAGGGCATTGAAAATGGGTCGTGGATGGGTATTCCAGCATGACAATGACCCCAAAACACATGGCCAAGGCAACAAAGGAGTGGCTCAAGAAGAAGCACATTAAGGTCCTGGAGTGGCCTAGCCAGTCTCCAGACCTTAATCGCATAGAAAATCTGTGGAGGGAGCTGAAGGTTCGAGTTGCCAAACGTCAGCCTCGAAACCTTAATGACTTGGAGAAGATCTGCAAAGAGGAGTGGAACAAAATCCCTCCTGAGATGTGTGCAAACCTGGTGGCCAATTACAAGAAACGTCTGACCTCTGTGATTGCCAACAAGGGTTTTGCCACCAAGTACTAAGTCATGTTTTGCAGAGGGGTCAAATACTTATTTCCCTCATTCAAATGCAAATCAATTGATAACATTTGTTTGTTGTTATTCTGTCTCTCACTGTTCAAATAAACCTACCATTAAAATTATAGACTGATCATGTCTTTGTCAGTGGGCAAACGTACAAAATCAGCAGAGGATCAAATACTTTTTTCCCTCACTGTAGAAGAAAACCAGTAATCTGTGAAATAAATGGAACCGCTCATCATTTGCATAAATAATACACAAATGCAAGTAGAAACATTTGACAGGATATGAAGAGCAATGCAGGGATTTGAATACTGTGACTTAAGAATATGAGCATCACTGACCCACTCCCTAGTTAGACCACAAGACAAACACATAGTGAGGACAGAAACATACAGACGCAAAGCTACAGGAAGGAAAGACAATACAGGAAAAGCAGCGAAAAGGGGAATTAAAAACTTGCACAACTACTTCCTCCAGTCTGCAGCTGTTTATTTTTGTCTTTATTATCTGAGGTACACTTGTGGCTCTGTGCAACACTTTAACTCACATCTAGTCATAAGGATGAACCCACACAGAGAGCGAGACAAGATGGAGAATTGAAGGAAATATGAGCAAATGGGACTAAAGAGGCAAACTGAAAGGCATACTCCACTGCTCTGTGGAAATCATGTGAACTAGGAACCTACAGCAACAGTTAGACCACATCCTGCAGAACAAGCAACAAAACCACAGACCATCTTTCTCTCCGTCTCATTCACACTCATTCACACTCATGCTGTCTTCATCCCTCTCTAATGCTCCTTTTTCACACATTAAACAGTTGGCAGATACGTATATGATATGATATTTTTGTGAGCTATACCCAAAGAGAATGCAACTGGTTGAAATATTGTCGTCCAATTTAGGGTTTGTAGGGTATGTCATGCATTACTGTCAGTGGATAGTCCTCATGTTCAATGCATAGGCTACATTTCACAGGTTTCAGATTTATCAATAAGAATATTAGTGCACACAATGACTCAGTTCTGACCTACAGCCCATACATTTATGCTGTAAAATGTCAACTCTAAAAGAGCGAGCATAGAATTTACCTCCATTTGCAGACCTTACTTCCTCAAATCTGAAGCTGCGCCTTAGCATTGACTCTGGATCCCTTGGCTAAAGACTTAGGCTTCATTGTTCTTGTAGCATTTTTGCATCACAAGACCCCTTTGGTAGACATTAATCTAACGCAACAAGCCTTTGCAGAGTGTGCCTTAATGTTATAAGGACCAGGACCTGAGTACATGTCAATAATGGTGTGTGCGTGTGTGTGTGTGTGTGTGTGTGTGTGTGTGTGTGTGTGTGTGTGTGTGTGTGTGTGTAGGCCTACAGTTAAGACTGCTGTGCATGAACATATAAAGTAACAGCAATTATGGACTATCAGTCACATGGTGGGTGTGAGATTAGAAGGAGAAGGATGTTGAAAGCAGGCCTACCTGTTTTAGTGATGGGGAAATGTTCTGCTCAGTCAGGCTCCCTGCTTGGTTCTGCTGTGTCGTCAGAGAGAGGAGTAAGAGCCGGTAGTCTAGGGTAGATCTCTTTATGTGATGGAGGAAGTGAGAGTTTTAGATGAAGGTGGAAATGGGAGGTGTCTCGTTCTGTCTTCCTACTTGCTGGGGTTGAAACATTTGAATGACAGACGTCAAGAAGAGATTAGATGAAGTTGTTGCAATGTAGACCAAAGTGAGCCTAATTAATGAGGCTAATCAAATCATCAAAGCAATGTGTAATACTTTCTCAGGCTGTATTACTTTGATTTGATTCAATTTTATTTAAATTAAGTTAAAAATATGAAGATAAGCATCGTAATGTCACCGGAACAGAGTCTCCAGAGTGCTCTAAAGAACAATGAATACTCGGGATAGGTCGTCCCAAGCATCCCTCTTAGTATCTACCATACTGTAGTTGCCCACTTCCAGTGGGGACTGTTGACTGTGGGATATAAATATGCGCAAAGAGGGTGCTGCTGTGTACAGGACAATCACCTACAAAATCACACTTAATCACATTTAACCCCTGTGCACAATGTATGGATAACAGGATGAAGTCAAACAGAGAATGACATGGCACAGCTTGGCTGTTTAAAGACACATGCATGCATCCTTTAACCAAACCCTGCTCCCTCAACCCCCCTGAAAACATCTCCAATAAAACAAGCAAGAGAACAGAACAGTAGAGACAAAACACAGAATGGAAGGCCAGAGGCAGGTTTAAAAATATAGACTTCAGTTTATTGCACAATCGTTGCTGGAGACTGAGGAGTGGGAGGGCCTGTCTGTATAATGCAAGACACTACAGATGGACACATATACAGAGAATAGACACAGGGAGATACAAGATAGCCATAAATTAACAGAAGTGTTGGTGAGAAGAACACAGGCGGGTCGATGAGGCACATTAGGATGCAACTTGCACCCAGACATGAAGCAGGACAGACAAAACACAACAACACATTAAAACACAGATTTCATACATGAAGTATGAGATCTTAAAACAGCTCATATATTCAAACATAAAAGATCCATAATATACATACATAATTGGTTTGTGCAACCCTGAACATGGCCAGGTTTGGTCC